TACTAATACTACGAACTACTACCCTACTACTACGCTACTACTGCTACGACTACGACTGCTACTACTACTACTACTACTACTACTACTAACACTACTACTACTACTAACTACTACTACTATAATAACTACTACTACTACTACTACTACTACTACTATACCACCACTACGACCTACATCTAACGACTACGACTAACTTTACTACTACTACTACTAACACTAACGATTACTACTATTACTACTACTCCTACTACTACTACTACTACTAACTACTACTACTACTACTAATATTACTACTACTACTACTAAATACTAACTCTACTACTACCTATACTACTACTACTTGTACTTCTAGTAGTATAGCTACTACTACTACTAATATACTACTACTACTACTACTACTACTACTAACTACTTCTACTTGTAGCTACTACTAGCTTACTACTACTACTACTACTATTACTATACTACCTACTACTGCTACTACTACTACTACTACTACCTATTACTACTACTACTACTCACACTACACTACTACTACTACCTACTCTACTACTACGACTACTACTACGACTACCACTACTACTACTGCTACTACTACTACTACTACTACTACTACTCCTGCTGCTGCTGCCGCTTATACTCCTACTTCTACTCCTACTCCTCCTACTCCAACTCCCCCTCCTACTCCCTCTCCTACTCCTTCTCCTATTTCTACTCCTACTCCTACTCCTCCTACTCCTACTACTCCTATGTCTTTTCCTCCTGCTGCTTCTCGTCCTTCTTCTCCTACTCCTACTCCTATTCCTACTCCTATTCTCACTCCTCCTCCTCCTCCTCGTCCTCCTCCGCCTACTCCTCCTCTTCTTCCTCCGCCTACTCCTCCTCCCACTCCTACTCCTACGCCTACTCTTACTCCTCTTCCTCCTACTCTTGCTCGTTTACTTATTCCACCTCCACCTTCTTTACACCGTAACCCAATGCACCATTCAACCAAGGTCTCATATTCCTCCACGGTGCCGTGATCGGGAGTCGTCCCTTGCCGGCTGACGGTGCTTGTCAATGTCAGTAAGCCATCAGATTCTGGCGTCTTATTCCAACCGCCACATTTGTACACCAAGGGTCGCCCAGCGTTGTCCGTGCCATGGTGTTCCGTGAGGCCTCCATGATGTGCCTCCCAAACCTTCAGGGGAGCATACCCTGCCCACACGACGGTCCCGTCAGGTTCCATGTGGTTGTGGGCAGGTTATGCCCCAGCCCCCAATACACCTGGCGCTCCGCGCAAGGGGAGGGTTCATTCACGACAAGGAGAATCCAAACACGACAAGGAAAGAAACATTCACGACAAGACAAACACACATTCACGACGACCGCCGAAAGTGGGAGGCGAAAGCGGGAGGCGAAAGCGGCAGGCCCAAGCAGGAGGCGAACGCGGGAGGCGAAAGCCGGAGGCAAAAGCGGGAGGCGAAAGCAGGAGGCGACGCTTCCCATTTTTTTTTTTTGTCGCGAAGTTGCCCCGCACTTTGTCGTCAAGCTGCATGTCGCGAAACCAACACACCCATGTTCCGTGCTCATGCCGAGGCGCCGGTTCCGTCAGGCTCCGCAGCGCGGGGATGGGTCACGGTCCATACCATCTTCTGCAGGTCGGGTAGAAACAGGTGGCTGGTCAAAATAAGCGGAAGCCATGTGATGGCGCATTCACTTGGCGGATGGCGGCGGCGAACACGCAGACGGCCGTGGAAGTAAAGCACCTGGCCTCTTCTTCCGCTCCCCAGTCCGCTGGTCTTGCCTGGTGGATACTGGTGATAAGTTGGCGGCTGGGCGGCGGCTGTTTCCCGGTGGCGCCCTCTCCTGGCGGTCGGCGGCGTGACAAAAAACAGGACGCCAGAGCGAAGAGGGCGCCCCTGGAGGCCCACAAAAGTGGTGAAGACATTCTCGTGCTCCTCGCCCTTCTCTGCCTCCTCTTCTTCCTCCTCCTCTTCTTCCTCCTCCTGGTTCTCCTCCTCCTCCTCCTCCTCCTCCTCCTCTCCCTCCTCCTTCCCCTTGTTCTCATCCTCCTCTTCCTGGTCCTCTTCCTGCTCCTCCTCCTCCTCCTCCTCCTCCACCTCCTCCTCCTTCCCTCCTCGGACCTCGGCTCGGACCTCTTAGCATGGGCACCTCGGGGCGGTGCTGCCGTCCTTCTCCCGGGGGCGGTCGCCCGTGCGTGTACACTTGTGAGCGTGATCCAACGAGTGCTTCCGGCAACTTAGAGAGCGCAACACGGTTACGCGGGACAGGGAAAGGATCCTCCATGGGGCGGGGCAACCAGTTCTCCCAGTGACCACTTGAATGGCGGAGGAGAACTACGACAATGAGAGGACGACCCTGCGAACAAAGCGTTCCTGGGGTGAGGGAGGGAAGGGGGGAGATGGCGTCAGTTGCAGCGAAAGGCTGCGGCGACAGCTAAGTAGTCATAGACGTGGATGGCTGAGTGTGAGGCGGCGAAGCGAAAGGTTCCGGCAACAGCTGAAAAGTTTTGGCCGTGGACAGGCGAGTGCGGGGCGGCCTGTGGCAAGCTGTAGGCAAGCGGTGCCCAGGCAGTGCTCAATTGTGGAAGGAGGGAGGGAGTCTAGCGAGGCAGGGTCAAAAAGTTTGTCAGCTTGCAAGCGTGCGACCGGGTGGCCCTCGAGGCCCCTGGCCAGCGGCATGGGCGGACTGTGCCGGCGTGTTCTTCTGTGTCCCGCCCCCGCCCCACGCTGCTGCTCCCGCCTCACCCCCCTTTCCATCCGAAAGGGCTAGGGAGGTGGAGGTGAGTAGGGTGGGGAGTGGGCAGCTTTAGGGGCAAGTGGCGGCCGTGAGGGAGGGGAAGGTTGGGTGAGTGGCAGGTTCGTTCGGGAGCCTGCTTTTGAGGTCTGGGCCGTAGCGGTCGTGATCGGCCTCTTTCCACCCCACCCCCTTAGATTTATGTCACGCTATTTCGCCGACACTTGCAAGGATTTCCTACAGATTCTTCGAGGATTTCCTCAGATTCCTGGCGGCCCCCCGTCGTGATGTGATCGGGGGGGCGAACTCCCCCTTCCCCGATCACGCCAATTATAGCGAGTAATGAAGAAACAGGCTCCAGTGGCACTCTCGTTTGGACCATTGGGAATAGCAGAAGCGCCCGCCCATGTCATGATGCAGGGTCGAGGGATTACTGGTCATGCCGCTATCCGTGTTCATAGAGGTCGAAGGAGTAGGTGTGCTGTGTCGCCGCCGCGGGCTGCTGGTCCGCGGCGCCTGGTGTGGAAGTAGACAGTTGGCGGGTGCTTGCGCGGTCCCACCCACCAACCTCTTCCCTAACCCGCGTGGACCGTGGGCCTCCCATGCCGAACAGCTCCGAGGCCCTGGCCCCACCAGGGATCCGTGATCAGTGCGAGCGAGTACAGGAGCATCTGCACTACCACTCTGGAGGTTTGGGTGGGAGGGTATATCTTGTGGTGCAAAGAGCTTGGCATCAGAGGAGCAAGAGGTTACGATAATGATACGTTCCAGGACTCCCAAGATGCCCGGGCCGGGGGTTCTAATGCCCCACACGGGCGGCAACAACGAGGGCCGCTAGATACCCTGGCAATCCTGGAACAGATCCTGAGCCGTTTTTATCATGACATCATTCTCGCCCTGTGGTCGCCCGTGATGCCAGAGATGGAGGCAGTGGAGAGCCGCCGCTGAAGGTGTGGAGGCCCCAGCTGCCTGCAGTCCGAGTCGTGGTCCGCTGTTGCTGCTGCTGCCTGATGGCGGTGAGTGCGTGGTGGTGGACGAGATGCGTGTCGAGGAGGATAAGTGCCGTATGTCACATGTCGACTGGACTGGGAGACGTGGGGAGTCCCGGCGCGTTGGAGCAAAATTGAAAGCGACAGAACGTGAAGTAGACGCATTGTGCGGGCTTCCTCCTGAGGCGGGTCCCGTCGTGGGATCGTGATGTGGGAGTTCCTGCACGACCGTTGGAGGGTTTGAGGAGCGGTGGATGCAGTGGCACCTCGGTGAGGCTGGCCCGTGCCACTGGCGTTCTTCCTCCTCCTTCTCCTCCTCCTCCTTCTCCTCCTCCTTCTCCTCCTCCTCCTTCTCCTCCTCCTCCTCCTCTTCTCTGTCTCTTGCAGCAGCATCGGCTGTCCTCCTCCTCCTCCTCCTCCTCCTCATCCTCCTCTTCTCTGTCTCTCGCAGCAGTATCGGCTGTCCACAATCCGCGCCCGCGCGCGCGCAGGCCCCCGCGGGCGGGCGCCCGACCGACGCGAGCGCGGGGCCCCCCAGACACCACCAGGGGACCTTTTTTCTGAGGGGGGGAGCGAGGAGGGGGAGGTCACCACACCATGCTGATAATCCTGAGGCCCACGAAGGAGAGGGGATTAGGACAGAGGAGCGGCGGGGCCACTCAGGTGTAGGAGCGCGTCACGATGTACACGGCGCACCTTGTCCGTAGCGCTGCACACGTCATACCTTCCAGGCATTCGGTAGCAGAATGTCAATATCGTAGTACCGATTGTTCTGGCAGTTTATGTGGTTCGCACTACTCATCCTCATCGGTGCCGCTCTGAGTTGTTTCCTCCTTTCTCCGAAGGCAATCCCTGGCACGTCGCTGGTTCAGCCTGCAGCGAGAGCAGACGGTGCACACAGTCGGAAACGGGCGTCGTTCGTGACAGCGCCGTCTTGCTGCCCGTATGGCAGGAGAGTCTAGCGTGAAGAGTTTGTCCATCATTGGCACTGCTCGCACGCTGGGGTGGTCAGGTGATCCGGGGACGGACGGGACCAGGGGTGCCCTCAAAGTGGGCATGCTCTGAAGTCCGTAACGAAAGGGATGTGCGTTGTGTGTTTTGTATCTTGGAACACGTTTGTACGCGAACGGTTTACAGTGTCGTGGAGACGTTGGCAAGCTACAGATTATCAGCTGAATGTCTCTCCCGAGTTCGATTCGGCATGGCGCGAGCGCTCAGCGCGCCAGAGCTGGAGTCCACCGGATCTTTCGGGTGATCGTCGAGTTATTATTTCACTGTTGTGGTTGTTCTGGAGACCGGTAACAGCGCCGTGGAGACGCCGCACCAGCAGCAACGCAGCCGCAGCAGTCCTATCCAGCATGTTTGGTCGCTTCAAAAGGGTGCGTCACAGGTGCGCCATGACAGACAGAAAAGTAGAGATGGTCGCTACAAGAGGTGGCGTCGTAGGTGCATTCTGTCCGTATTACGAAGGGTCCCACGAGCGCCTGTCTACAGGGGCTAGGTAGCTCACACCCCTGGGCCGTGGTGGGGAAGTGCCCGCTCTGACAGCCGGGGGAGGTCGCGATGTCACGAAACAGGGGCGAGTTGTTTCCTTTCTTCTCCGAACGCAGTCCTTGGTACGGTCGGAAGCCGGCGTTGTTCTTGACAACGCCGCTCTGCAGCCTTTTGTGGCAGGAGAGTGTGAAGAGGGTGTCCATTGTTGGCGTTGCTCGCATGCGGGGTGGGCATATGAGCCGGAGATGGACTGAACCAGGGGTGCCCTCAAAGTGGGCATGCTCTGAAGTCCGTAACCAAAGGGATGTGAGTTGTGTGCTTTGTATATTGCAACACGCTGTTGCGCGAACAGTTTACAGCGTAATGGAGGTGTTGGCAAACTGCACTTTGCGCTTGGCATGTCCATATTGCATCGTCTGCAAAATTCGTTGGCACCGATTGGGGGTGGCAGGCCGTAGTTCATGTAGGCGTCCTGTGCGATCGCATTGGCCCAGGAGTCCAACAGGTCCACGAAGTATTGGGTGCCGCCTGTAAGAAAAGGCTGGAAATTGAGTTTGGCTTCGCGGGCCAGGTCGAGCTCGTTGTACTGGCAGATCGTGTGGTACAATTTCATGTGCGCGCACTTGTCTTGTCAACAATGTATTATTGCCCGTGTTGCTTGGCAGCCATCGCCTTATGGAACCCTCCGATAGTAGTTGAGCCCGTGTCGATTTCGAGCGTGACGTAGCCTTCTTTTCCTGTGTACCAGTGCACATAATATCATTTAGTAGTGGAGCCTCACTGCCGAATCGTACGACTGACTTCCCATTAGGATGTATCTATCCGTAGCATGCCAGTAGCCATCATGCACGGGTTGTGGTGGTTCTTGCCTGCATTGTGATATTTCAAAGCGGGCATCAATAGTAACCCCGCGAGTTCCTTCTGAGTATTCGGCCTTGTATACGTTGATGCACTTCTTGTACAGGTATTTGAAATGGTGGCGTAAAGTCGACGTAATGTCTCGGATCATGAAGTATTGCTTGTCGTTTCCTCCGTGTGTATAGTTTGTAACCACCTGTGTCCATTTGTTCTAGTATGCGAAATCGCGCAGCCAGATGCCAGTTTCAGCTGGCCGGTGCTCTCCTGGAGTATCGTCGATGCACTGATAGCTCGCATGTACCATGTTGGTACTTATTGAGTCGCTTCGCTCATTCCGCCGGCCCGTGATATGGTGATATGGCATCGCTGGTTTTTGTCTGTGTGTTCGTTGCCCATGTTGCGCTCTTGGGGGCGGGTGTCGTTCGGACGCGTTGCGTGGGGAGTTTTGATGGTGAAGCAGTTCCCTGGGGGTCGTCTCTCGATGGGGCGAAATAGAGTCGTCGTCAAGATGCTTCTTTGGGGGGCCTCTTGGGGTCTGTTGAGAGGCCGTTCGGGGGCGCCTGGGAGACATGTTTGAAGCCTTCTGGGGCTTCTTTTGGGCCTCCTGGGAGTCTCCTGGGGCCTCTTGGCGACATCTTGGGGCCTCTTGGAGGCCTCTTGGGGCCTCTTTGGGACCTCCTGGGCGCCTTCTGGGACGGAGGGCTCCATTTTTGAGTTCTCGGTATCCCTCCTGAGTCCCTCTTGGGCCCGTCTTGGGGCCTCTTGGTCCGTCTTGGGCGGCACTTGGGCCGTCTTGAGGGCTCTCTTGGGTCGTTTCGGCGCCGTCTTGGGAGCTTCGTGGGCCGTCTTGGAGCGGTCTTGGGGGCCTCTTGGGCCGTCTTGGAGCGTCCGGAAGCCGAAAAAGCCAGAACACAAAAAACATCGAAAAAAACAATGAAAATCAACGATTTGGGCCTCTTGGGGCTCTCTTCGGAGGCCTCTTGGAAGGCTCTTGGGGCGTCTTGGAGGCCTCTTGGGCTGTCTTGGGGGCCTTTTGGGCCGTCTTGGGGTCATCTTCGGCGTCTTCGAGCGCTCTTTGGGCGTCTCGGGGGCCTCTTGGGCAGTCTTGGGGGCCTCTTGGGGCACTCTGAGCGCGCTCTGGGGAGCCTGAGAGGCCGCACCCAGAAGGAAAACCATCTCTGAGTAGACTTGGTCGGTCGGGCGGCGGTCGGGCGGCGACCGGGCGTTGGTCGGGGTACTTTTCGCCGGGGGACCCCCAGGGGCCGCCCCGCGCGCGCGAACTAGAAATACTGTTAATACTGTTAAGCAGTTACCGGAGATCTTAGCACGCCCTGGCCCGTCGATGCGCTGATAGCTCGCATGTACCATGTTGGTACTTATTGGCATGTACGTGGCAGTTTTAACCGCTATCTTGTAGCGGGTCCGTACCGCTCGCGACTATTGAGATGAATCCCGTTGCATGGTTTTATACGTCGGCGGGTAAGTGGGTAGCCGTACAGTAACAGTAAGAGCAAGCAAACAGTGATTATCTTGTGGTATCCAGTACTCGTACAGATAATGGTCGTTTTACCTCATGATGCCTTGGTAGTGATGGATCACTAGGGGAGGGTGGGGGTGATAAGGAAGTATTTGTTGCTCTGCTACTGGCGTCACTCCAACATACTTATACTACATGTGCGTCGCCCCCCCAGGGGCGACGCGCGCACCGAGAAATCTTATAGTATATGCGTCGTGGCGGGCGCTTTCTGGCCACACCGCTCGGGAAACGATGTACTACAAGATGGGTCTACTGTATGTTCGGGTCGGACGTGCGCTCCCAAGGAGAACACATCGTATTAGTATGTCCCTGTGCGTCCCATGGTAGAGTAGGAGACGTAGTGCTCGCCTTCGCTGTTGTACAACGGCCTCAACTAGGTTGCCCGCAGGCGCTTGCCCAAATGGACGGCATTGTCGTTGTCCTCGACCTTCTTCGCGTTGCCGATGGCCGAGCTTCCGTTGCCGTACTCTTGGTCCTGGTCGTCGCGCTCGTAGCTGGGGTAGTACGTCACGTTGCCTGCTCGACGTCTTTCCCCTCGAGTTGTGAGGGCTCGCCGGCGAAATGGTCCTCCAAATGAGTATTTGGGAGCCGCACTAGCTTGAATTCGTTGTGGTTGTAGTCGCCTTTCCACTTGTACTCCACGATGTACTTGCCGAACTGGTCGTGGATGCGGATGTAGTAGTGGATTTCGTACACCTTGTTGATCTTGTACGGCGTGTAGTGCAGGTTGGCTGTCGTAGGTTCCATGCCGCTCTGTGCGCAGAAGTTGTACAACATTCTTCACCCTTCGCGTATCCCCACCAGCCCATCTCAAAACAGCAACTCTTGCGAAGCATGCCGACAGTCGTGTTTTTCAGGCGTGTTTCCGCCTGCCCCCGCATATCTCCGGGCCTCTCGTCCTGGTGTGAGTCGTTCGGGCCCTTCTTCCTGGTGTGAGTCGTTCGGGCTCTTCGTCGTGGTTTGAGTCGTTCGGGCTCTTCGTCCTGGCGTGAGTCGTTCGGGCTTCTCGTGGTGTGAGTTGTTCGGGCCCTTCGTCCTGGTGTGAGTCGTTCGGGCTCCTCCTCCTGGTGTGAGTCGTTCGGGCTCCTCGTGGTGTGAGTCGTTCGGGGCCCTCGTCCTGGTGTGAGTCGTTCGGGCTCCTCGTGGTGTGAGTCGTTCGGGCGCCTCGTCCTGGTGTGAGTCGTTCGGGCCCCTCCTTGTGGTGTGAGTCGTTCGGGCTCTTCGTGGTGTGAGTCGTTCGGGCCCCTCGTCCTGGTGTGAGTCGTTCGGGCTCCTCGTGGGGCCTCTTGGGGGCCTCTTGGAGCCTCTTGGGGCCTCTTGGGGGCCTCTTGGGGGCCTCTTGGGGGCCTCTTGGGGGCCTCTTGGGGGCCTCTTGGGGCCTGTTGGGGGCCTCTTGGGGGCCTCTTGGAGGCCTCTTGGGAGCCTCCTGGGGGCCTCTTGGGGCCATCTTGGGGCCTCTTGCGACCTCCTCAGAAGCGCAAATGAGAGCTGCCCCCTGAGAAGGACAAAATGAGCCCGAAACCTTTGTAAAATCAATGATTTTGCTATGAAGGACGATGGGCGCTGCCCCCTCAGAAGGCCAAAATGGGGCCAAAATCCAAGTAAAATCAATGTTTTGGGCTTCACAGAAGAGCAGAGGGGCCTATCTCCCTCCCCCCGTCGGGGCCAGAATCCTCGTGAGGGTCGTCGTTTTTTAGCCCTCCCAGGAGTCGAAAAAGACCCCTCCAACCACCCGCGAAACCCCCTCTCCAGGTCCAGGGGGAGGGGGTAGGGGGAGGGGTAAACCCCTCCCCGAAGGGGAAGAAGGGGGGTTGAGAACAGAGAGAGCTCCCTAAACCACTCACGCCCAAAGGGCTGGTGGGACTATCTTGTCCAGGGACCTGGTCTCGTAGTCGCATTTCTCTTGCAGAGTCTGGCCTGCAAGTGGCCGTTGGTAGCTCAATATGCTCGATGTCGCCCGTGGTCTTGTAGCGAAACCTCAGGTTGACCACATGCGGGTTGTTCTCTACGGCCATGTAGGTGTACCAGCTGTGCGGGGCGAGGAGGTTGGGACTGAGCGGTACCAGCCCGTTCGCCGCGCCGTGGACGGAGCGTGGTCGAAGGTCGCTGGCGTAGGCATCCGCGAAGTGGTCACCCGAGGCCTCGTAGAACGTGGGCAGCTTGTGCTGGTAGCGCTCGACGAAGTGCCTGACAACATGGCTGATGTCGATTCTACCGAAATTCGTCTGGCTCTTGTTGTTGTACTCGTCGTACTTCTTCGTGTGTACTTTGGCGAGGGCTTGGGTTCACTTGCTGTCGTGGCCGTTCGGTTTGGTATCCGTCGGCATCGGCATCGTGGCGTCCGCGTCGTAGATGCCAACCTCCACGTACAGGGCATCGCCTCCTCTATTCCTTGTCCTTTTGAATAACTCCTCCCTGTTGTACCCCGAAGTCAGTCGGAAGGGTGGGCCCGGCGTTTCGCTTGAGATGTTTGCCATGTATGAGCCTCAAGCTGAAAAGCTAGGGACTTGTTTTTCTCATTTAGGAGCCCGAAGTTTAGACACTGGCAACAGTTTTACAGATGGAGGGTTGGTCGCTACCAAAATGCGGCTCTCGCCTTAGCGCCGCGCACACTCGTTTAAAACATTTGCAAGGGCTTCACGGATTGAGGGTGGGTGGTTCTCAAAATGTGGTTCTCGTTTATCGCCGCGCACATACGTTTTTCAAACATTGCAAACGTTTCACGTATTGAGAACGGTTCGATTCCATTTCAATGTGTGGCTCTCGTTTTAGTGTCGCGCACATTCGTTTCAAACATTGCGAGAGCTTCACGGGTTGAGGGCAGGTGTTGTTCAAAGTATGGTTATATTTAGCGCCGTGCACATCCATTTCAAACGTTTACACGAGTTTCACGGATTGAGGGCGGCTCTTTTTAGAAAAGGGGTTGTTCGCCTTAGTGCCGCGCACATGTGTTTCAAATTATTGCTTAACGAGCCAGCATTGGTGTTTTGGAGCGATTCTAGGTTGCCAGGGCGTAACATTCATGCTGATTCGCGGTGTTAATGTCACAGGAATGGCGCTTTGGTGCGATTCGGGATCTTCAAGACGCAACAGTCTGGTTGACTCGTGACGTTGAAGTCTTGAGAATGGTGTTATTGCACGCTTCAGGATTTTCAGACGGCTGTCCCCCAACGGGGCATTTTCTTCAGTGAGGATGAACCCTTGTAGGGGCCTATGAAGATGGAGCTTGGAGGGAGGCTGTACTCGAGCATCGTTGATGAGTATTGGGTTTACACTGGTCCTCCTCCTCATCATCCTCCTCCTCTTCTTCCCTCCTCCATCTCTTGCCGCGCGGCTCCCTGCCACATATCCTCCCCCTCACTCCTCCTCCCTCCTCCCCTCATCCCTCATCCACCCTCAGCTTGCTCCCTCTCCACCCTCGCTCCTCCTCCCCCCTCCTCCTCCTCCTCATCCCCCTCCTCCTCCCCCTCCTCCTCCTCCTCCTCCTCCTCCTCCTCCTCCTCCTCCTCCTCCTCCTCCTCCTCCTCCCCCTCCTCCCCCTCCTCCCCCTCCTCCCCCTCCTCCTCCTCCTCCTCCTCCTCCTCCTCCTCCTCCGCCCTCCTCAGCCCTCCTCTGCCCTCCTCTGCTCTCCGCCCTCACGGTGCATCTCGTGCGTCGCTCCCCTTCATCGGGGGCGACGATACGGGTGAATAGCCCTGAGGGCGTAGCGCTACACGTATCCAGGGGCGCCGACGGCCCATGTCTTTGGCAAGGCTCCCCAACGAAGACGTGGAATGCCCGCCCTGGGCTCTATTCGCTCCTACGGTCGGACCGAGGTATGAGATCGAGGTCGGATCGGGAAGGGTATTCTAGAGTTCTTTCTGCTTGTGAGAGGTTCTTGTGCATCCTGGGGGAGGGCATTCTCGAATATTATTGAAGGATGTTTATCTGTCTCACGTTCTGTAATGATGGTCTCGTGTTCTTGCAGGATATCATGCTCTTGAAGAATGTTAGGTCCGGCCGTGCGTGTAATGCCCGCCCCTGGGCAATTCGCCCCTATCGTCGCCTCCGACCTCCGCTCGGTGGCGAGCCTGGCGGGCCTTCTCAGAAGGCGCGGAAGTCCCCTGGCCTTCTGAGAAATTTCATGCGCCTTCCCCGAAGACACAGAACACTTCTCAGAAGGCGCGAGGGCTTCTGAGAAGTCCCGCCGCCTTCTGAGAATGCCTTCTCTGTTTGTCTTCCCCACCTCGCTCGCCGCCCAGCAGAGCGTTCTGGAACACTCTCAGAGCGCTCTGGAACGCTCAGGAGGCCGTGGCGCCCGAGACATCCTCCACAGCCGCCGAATCTCAGAGATTCTCGACTTGCCCCTGGTGCCCGAATCCGCCCCCGTCCTGGCTCCGTCTTGCCCCGTCCTCGCCCCCGACCGACGGCCCCCCCGCGGCGGAGTCGCCGAGGTCCCTCATCGCCAACGTCCTCGCGGAGGCCGCGGAGACGCCGTCCGAGGCGCGCGCGGGGCGCGCGGCTCGCCGCGCCGCCCTGCCCCCCCCCTCCTGCGCAGGGCTCGGGCCCAGCGGTGTGTTGGGCGATGTCGTGCTGCGACGCCAGCGGAGGGGGGGAGACGCAAAGACGAAGGGGACAAACGAGGACAGAACGAGCACGCGGGCGGAGCGGGAGAGACAAAAGACGAGGGGACAAACGAGGACGGAACGAACACGAAGAGCACTGTGCAGGTCGATCCCTGCTGCTCCTGCGGGTGGGCCGGGCAGCGCGGGGGTGCCGCGTCGGAGCCCGTTCGGCGCCCGAGTTACAGTCAGAGCGCCCCGTAAGGACGCGCGCCTTCGATCAGGGTGCCCTCGTGTCCTTGCCTCTGCGGCCCATCCTTTGCCGTTTTCAGTGGCCTTTCCTTGGGTTAGGGTACTCTTGCGTCCCTGGGGTTTTGGTCGCCCGCCGCTCCCCAAAAATCCCAACTTCGGACTCCATGGGTCTTGCGTTCTTACCACGCGTCCTTAAATGCACATTTTGACTGTATCGCACGTTTTCAAGTTCGTGGGCGCCAAGTGGTCCAAGACAGTCAGGCGCCCGTCGATGGCAGGCGGTGGGTATACAAGGGAGCGAATTGAGGCACGAAGGCAGAAGAGAACAGAGCGCGATGGGGGGAAGAGGGAGGAGCCCGCGCAAGCTGGGCTATCGCACACACGTTCAATGACTTCATGCTCTGAGCGTGCTCCGTCCCCCTCCCCCGCGCCCGCTCTCCTCCCGCTCCTACTGTGCCCGATTGGGCCCCGCAGTGTCCCTCGGCCGCCTGTGACCGCGGCGTGGATCCGCGCCGCTGCGACCAACAAGCTCGGCGCCCGAGCCCGTTCTGCGCCCGAACCCGCTCCGCTCGGCATCGCCCAGCCGAGGAACTTCTGGCGTGCTCGTCGGCCCTCGGCGGTGTTCCAGCCTCGGGGTGCTCTTCGGCAGCTGCGCTTCGCCGAGAGAGCTCCGGGCGCGCCTGGACTCCCGGGCGGCCGCGGGAGGCCCGGGCCAAGACCCGAGTGCCAGGCCCCCTCGCGTCTGAGCCCCCGTTCGGGCGCACAACGGGCCCACGGGGCCACCCCCAGGGGCGCGAAGACGATCGCGCCTCGCGCAATGCGGCCTGGGTCGGAGAGGGCATCCTTCTCCAGGGCGGCGGCACGAAGGGGCGAAGATAACCGCGCATCTTGGGGCGCGATGCGCGAAGTTAGGCGACATCGGCTTGAAATGATGGGAGCCTCTTGTTTCATCCAGCGGTGCCTCAGGCGTTGATGTGGTTTGATTTGGCCCGATTTGGTGTGCTGTAGTGTGTTTTCACGAGATTCAATCAGCCTCGAGATCGAGCCTCAAGATCGAGCCACGAGCCTCTTCGGCCTCAAGATCAGCCTCAAGTGCCCCGACCTTTAGCCTCAAGATCGGGCCACTTCGGCGGCCGAGCGCACTCGGCGGCCGAGCGTTGGCTCGGACGGCGAGCGCTTGCCGCACTGCGGCTTGGGGGTCGGAGAGGCGCCCTCCTCCGGGCTGGCGGCGCGAGTGCCGAATATAGCCGCGCGTATCGCCTCGCAGGGCGCGATGCGCGAAGTTATGTGACCTCCTCCTCCTCCCCCTCCTCCTCCTCCTCCTCCTCCTCTTCGTCGTCGTCCTCCTCGTCGTCCTCCTCCTCCTCCCTCCTCCTCCTCCTCCTCCTCCTCCTCCTTCCCCTCCTCCTCTTCGTCGTCGTCGTCGTCCTCCTCCTCCTCCTCCTTCTCCTCCTCCTCTTTCTCCTCCCTCCTCCTCCTCCTCCGCCTCCTCCTCCTCCGCCTCCTTCTCCTCCTCCTCCTCCTCCTCCTCCTCCTCCTCCTCCTCCTCCTCCTCCTCCTCCTCCTTTCTCTTCGTCCTCATCCTCCTGGGGCCCGCTTGGGAGCCTCTTGGGGCTCTCTTGGAGCTGTCTGGGGGCCCTCTTGGGCCGTCTTGGGGCCCTCTTGGGCCGTCTGGGGGCCCTCTTGGACCGTTTTCAGCCCCTTTGGAGGGGCTGGGCTCCCACGGCCCTGCCGAGGCAGAGCCCCCCTCGACTGTGGCGCGCTCGGCGGCCGAGCGCACTCGGCGGCCGAGCGTTGGCTCGGACAGCCTCGCAGGGCGACGAGATCTAGACATTTCGACCGCCGCTGGCCAGGCCCATCCTGGGCCCAGGAGCTGAGTAGATGCCTCCCTGGCCAAGCCCTGGCCTCCCTGGCCTCCCTGGCTTCGGACAGTCGGACACTTCCCGGAGGCCACCAAGATAGCCGCCAAGACGGCCGCAGAAGCCCCCGGGGGGCCTCATGACGGCCCAAGGGGCCCCAAGACCGCCCCACAGACCTCCGAGACGGCCTGAAGGTTCGCCTTGCATCGACCACGCGCCGCGCGAGGCCAGCTCTGCGTGCAGGCAGCGGTGGTATCGAGGGGCACCTCGGGTTATGCCCGCACGGCATGGGCGCAGCAGCGCGGGGGCGGGGCCTCACCATCCGGCTGCTCGTGGGAGTGCCCCCTCGCTGGGGTGGCCTGTGGTGTTGCCGACCCACGGGGGTCCCCCGATCGCTGAATGCGACCCAATAGCCGCAGCGTGCGGGCGCCTGGGCTTGCTCCCTCCCCCCCCCCCCTCCCCCGCGCCCCCTCGGAGCCGCGCGCCTGGGGTCGCTCTTGCGTGTAACCGGGCGCTGCGCGAGGGCAGGGCCTCGCCGTCAAGGACCGAGGACCGAGGCCAGCGAGGTTTGAGGATCGAGCATCAAAGCTCGAGGACGGCAGCCGACGCCTGTGGCGTGGGGACGATCGACTGCTCTATGTCGCTTCGCCCTGGCTGCGTGCTGCACGAGTCCGGCTCTGCATGCGGGTAGCGGTGGCATCGACACGAGGCCTGATCATCGAAGAGGAGACATCGGCAACACGCAACATGATCGTCGTCGGGTTTTGCCCTTTGGACGCTTCGTTGTGGGTTTGGGGGGGCAGGGAGGCACGGGGCCGATCTCCTGGTGGAGAGCGAAGCGCGCTCGAGTCCCCAGTCGCTGGTCATGCTGATCTCCTCCGTCACCATCACAGAGGAGACTTTTAAGCACAAACTTCTGGAGCTCCCACGCGAATTCCTTGGATCGGCGCTGGGCCTCCCGGCGGCGCCTCCAGCGCCGCCCACGGCGCGTTCCGCTTGTCATGCAGGGGGGGGTCCAGCGGCGATCCATGAAAAGCGCGCGGACCCCCGAAAGATAATGCTGATGCTGTTTCTCAATACGCGGAACAGTGACCCCTCTCCAGAGTGACCTTTCGTGTGGGCCAACAGGTCCTCCTCCTCCTCTACTTCTCCCTCCTCCTCTACTTCTCCCTCCTCCTCGTCCTCCTCCTCCTCCTCCTCCCCCTCCCCCTCCTCCCCCTCCTCCTCCTCCTCCTCCTCCTCCTCCTCCTCCTCCTCCTCCTCCTCCTCCCAACAGTGGCCTGCGCACTCGGACTTGGCCCTCCCGGGGTTCCCCGGAGCCGCGCACCAGAGGTCACTTCTGCCTGTGGGTCACTCCTGCGTGCGGCCGACCCCCAGAGGGGCGCGAAGACGGTCGCGCTCCGCGCATCGCGGCCCGGGTTGGAGATGCGCCCTGCTCCAGGGCGGCGGCGCGGGATCACGAGGATACCGCGCGTCACGCATCGCGGGGCGCGATGCGCAAAGTTGGGTGACCTAGATATTCGAGGATCGAGGTTCGGAGATCGAGGCTCGGTGTTCGAGGATCGATGTTCGAGGGCGGCCGACGCGTGCTAATTACCCTTCGCTTCGCCTTGACTATGCGGTGTGCGGAGCCAGCTCTGCGTGCAGCCAGTGGTGGCATCCACAAGGGCTCCCTCGAGGGCGCGAAGTTATTCGCGCTTCGCGCTTCGCGGTCCTCGTTCCTTCTCCCCCTCCTCCTCGTCCTCCTATTCTCCCTTTGGGAGGGCGGCGCGAGAGCGCGAAGTTGTTCGCGCTTCGCGCTTCGCGCAGCGCGAAGCGCGAAGTTGGGAGCCCTAGCATCCAGAGACGCTTCGGATCGTGTCCGACGCGTCTCTGGATGCCACCACGAACTGCCACCACGTCTCTTGACGTGGGCGCGGCAGCGCGAGGACGCGGCCTCACCGTGAAGGAGAGAGGTTCGATCGTCGAGGGTCCGTGATCGAGGTTCGGGGGCCAGGACGAGGCCGACGAGGCTCGAGGCTCGAAGTCCGATCATCGCTTTGTACGATCTGGAAACATCCCTTCGAGCCGTCCTTGGGCTTTTTTGGCCGCCACGGCTGGTTTCACCTGATTTGGAATCCTGGCCAGAACTCGCCCCAGGAGAGGCCCGAGGGGGGGACTCTTTCAGGCCCGGCACGAAGGGTCTAGGAGCGGGGCTCTGGGGCCACGACTCGGGATGGAAAGTTGTGTCCAGCAGAAGGAGGCAGGGCGCGAGCTAAACTGTTTCGGCGAGTTCGTGGGCCGTCTTCGCGTGGATCTAGTTTTGCAGCAACGGTAGACCGAAGGCAGAACGAAGGAACATGTAAGTATAACGAAACGGGAAGTCCTGGAAGGAAGGCCCCTAGGCCAAGGACTTGTTTCCACCAGAGTCCCTCTTCCTCATATCAAGAAGGAAAGGTAAAGGACTTCGTTCAGGGATTCAGTGGGCGGGGTATTCTAGATGTTCCTCCCTTCTACTGCTCCTGTCTACGTTCTCCTGTAACCTTCCCCTCCCCTCCCCCTTCACCCCCTGACTCCTTTCCACCCCAGTGGAGCCCCTGACACAGTTTTTAAGTCCGCGGGCGCCAGGGTGTGCGAGACGGTCAGGCGCCGGTCAAAGCGCGGTGGGCTGCACCGGAAGCGCACACAGGCACGAGAGCGGAAGAGAAGAGAAAGTGAGGAGAGGAAGACAGGGGGCCAGAAGGAGCCCCTGACGCAGGAAATTCAGGTCGAAGAGGATGAGGGGAACAAGGAGGAGCAGCAGGAGGAGGAGGAGGAGGAGGAGGAGGAGGAGGAGGAGGAGGAGGGGGATTCACTGCTGCCGCTACCTTGCACATTACATCATCTCTTTCAGCCAGCGACTCCTGAAGCGAATGCTCCAGGAGTCGCCTGGCTCTTAGTTTGATCACCCCCCAGGGCCGACGAGCCCTGGGGGGAGGGCTGGGTCCGACGGATCCTATCGCCTTAAGCCCGTCAGCTCGTCGGGAGGAGGAGGAGGAGGAGGAGGAGGAGGAGGAGGATGAGGAAGAGGAAGAGGAGGAAAAGGAGGAGGAGGAGGAGGAAGAGGAGGAAAGGAGGAGGGGAGGAGGAGGAGGAGGAGGAGGAGGAGGAGGAGGAGGAGGAAGAGGAGGAGGGAGGAGGAGGAGGGAGGAGGAGGAGGAGGAAGAGGAGGAAGAGGAGAAGGAGGAGGATGAGGAAAAGGAGGAGGAAACGGATCGAACACATCACCGACGTTTTAGCTCTGAGACGCTTCGGGCTGGGGGCCTCTGGAGATACTTCCGGGGGGCCTTCCGCGGCACAGGGCTTTCTGGGGCGACGCGGAGGGTGCCACGCGGCGGGCCGCCTCCGAGGGAGGCCAGGGCGTGCAGGCGCACCGGGGACCGTCAGACGGTTGAGGGACAAAATTTGAGCAACATTCCCCTTTTCCCTCGGAGGAGGAAGAGTTACCCATACCGCTGCCCTTACACCACGTTTTCCCAAGGGCTCCCACGCGGTCCGTTCCTTCTCCCCCCCCTCGTCCTCGTTTTCTCCCTTTGGGGGGGCGGCTCGAGAGCGCGAAGTTATTCGCGCTTCGCGGAGCGCGAAGCGTGAAATTGGGAGCCCTAGTTTTCCCTTTTTTGGGCCTCCTGGGAGGCCCTCGTCGCCACCGCTGGATTCGCCTGGAATCCTGGTCAGAAGGTACCCCGGGAGAGGGCCAGGGAATAGCGGTATCGGTACCTTTTGGTTTCCCCATCCCCTCCGCAGTTCAAGGTTGGCACGTATACGCATCACTGGTCCGACACTCCAGCTCGGGAGATTTGAGCCCAATATTGCATTCGCGGGGAGGGGGGGGAGTTCACACCATCTGTTATGTGTGAGTGTTGCTTGATTGTTTCCGACACCTGGAAGACGGCCCCGTCTGCGAGAGAATTTTCGGGCACAATAAAGAACCACAACCACAACGAAGTGAATTTTTTGGGAGGGCCCCTCGGGGGAGAACCCACCGACCTCGACTTGAGCGTTTTGGTTGTGGTCGTGGTCGCTCTGGCAGTCCTAGGACGCCACATCGACCGCAACCAGTACGAAGCTGGCTTCGGTGCACCGACAATTTCTGGCATACGCAAGACATCCCCCCGGGTGTGGTGTGTCCAGTGGTCGCTTGCTGTACCCGCAGAAGTGGCCCCCAGGAGAGCGTTTTCTGATTGCCACGGACGATAGCGGGCGTTACCGGGGGGGAGGGGCAGGGGGTGGGGGGCGGGGCGGGGGGGGGGGGGGGGCCGTAACGTCACGTGTCGCGTGGGCGCCGTCTGGGAATGTCTAGGAATACCCACAGCCTACTCGGAGGTGAGGACGAAGCGTGATGTCACCTGGGCGGGGGAGGGAGGGGGGGGCGGGCGGGCGGGGCGCCAAAAGTTTCTGTTCATGGCGTTTTTTCTTCCTGTAGACAGTCATGACGCTGAAATGAGGGCCATTTGGGGCTCAGGAGGGACTGTTCCTGACACATGGGTCGGGCCGAAGCTCGCAGCGGCCAGGAAAGCCCCACCGTTACTTGTTCTGCGTTCCTTCTGTCGGCACGCCGACTGTACCGATGCTGCTGCACCCCGCTCGGGGCGACAGGGGAAGTAGGGCGCGGACACAAGACGTGGCCGCGGAGGCCAGGAGTCCATCAGTGTCCCCGTGCTGGCCTCTCGTGGGGTCGGGGCGCGAGCAGCGGCATGTACAAAGTGCCGATCGCCTGCACGGGGCGCAGCGCCACGGTGGGCTCGTGTCGTGTCGACCAGCGGCGACCCTGCCGCCGGCGCTCACCGTTCAACGCCGGCGGCGGCCCGGAGTCGGTCGATGTTGAGCGATCCCCGCGGTGTCAGGGGCCAGCGCTGGGGCCAGCACGACACGTGCAGGCCATTGCTCCCTTGGTGCCAGCAGGCCAGACGAAAACGAACCTGGCGCACGGTCGAACCGAGTCAGAAGATCGATACCAGTGCGGGGAGGTTGCCCTGGTTTTCTTCGTGTTTTCAGGGGCAACGATAGGGGGGACCCGGGGCATAGGCATAGAGGGGAATGCATCGACACGCAATCGCCCATTGATCGCCGATAGGGGCCCGAAAGCCCCAATCTGCCCATGAATGTGCGGATTCAGTATCTGGGGCCTATCGCCGATCTATCGGAGATGTATCGCCGATTTCAGGTCGATGCATCCCCCCCTTTGCCAGTCCACCCCTATCGTTGCCTCTCATGTTTGTTGGATGCTTTTTGCATCCTGAGGGAGGGTACCCTCGAATGTTCTTCAGTTTGGCCAGCTTTATCTCATGTTCTTGAAGGATGTTCGTCTGTCCTAGGTCCGACCGTAGGAGGTTCGAGGTTTTCACCGGCCCCCCAGATCTACCCCAGATAACTCGTAGAGAGCCAAGATGGTTTTATATTAGAAGCCGGCAGCACAGGGTAGCCCCAAAGCTCGTTCTAGCGTCGGTCGAGCAGCGCCGATGCGCCTTGCTTGAACTTGCAGCGTGTCCTGGAAGGCCTTTTCTCATTGCTTCCCAATACGTGTGCCTTCAAGCTCTCCAGAGCCTCCTTCGGAAGCTCCTTCCAAGAGGTTCCAGAGCTCCTTCAAGAGGCGTTGGACGGCTTCTCTCGCGCACCGCTATCCGCTATCCGGGTTTCGGACTCCACAAGTCGCCGGCCCTCTCAGATCTACCGGCCGACCGTCGGGGTCCGCATCCTGGAGTTTGACGTCGAG